TCTGTGGGAGGCAGTGAGGGTGGGAGGGGAGGCGACTCTGCGCTGTCTCCTGCCTCCCCCACCTCTTGCTGCCTCTGTATCAGGGGCAGCAAGAGGTGTGTTTGCGTGTCGTCGTTCGGATTAACCTATAATCCCAGCTTTATCGGTTAATCATTTAAACAACTATACGCTAGCATCCCTAGTTAGGAAACTCAGCCTGTGGATTCCGGGGGCGGTTCTGGCCCTGGTTTGTAGAGAGCAAAATGAATTGTTAAATGGCCTGGATCTAGACTCCCCAGTGTATTCATCAGGTGGTGATTTGGCAGCAAAGGGATGAAAGCTTGAAGCACTAAAGACTAAGAATGTCCCATCACCTGTTCAGCTGCATGGTTCGTTTATTCCCGGGAAGATTAAACATTGAGTTACATTGGTCTCCTGGCTATGTGTCGAAGCCTGCATGACGCTCAAGGGGCTATGGAGGATCAATGCTCCAAATTAACTCTTGGAAGCAATTGTTAGCCCCAGAACATGGTCTGGTAATAAGGCAGTGTCAGACGAAGCAAGACTTTATGGAGGACATTTGCATGCAAAGATTGATGAACTTTCTAACGCAGGGCAATGGTAAAAGCTATTAGAATCGCTGTCTGGAAGTAGGCTGGTACTGAAGTGGAAAGGGCCATGGGCAGTAGGTATAAGGCGTGGGGGGAGGGCAATGCCTTCCCAAATGGCCAGGCGTGGCCCCACCCATGCTCTGCCCTCACAATGTCTCCTGCTTCAGCCGTAGGTGTTCTGGGAGCGGAGTGTTGCTGCCCTCGGGCTTCAGCCATGCTGAGGCTGCAGACACTAGGTGAGAGCACCTGGGGCCAGGGAGGTGGGGGCTGTGAGTTGCCTGCCTTCCCCATGATAGGGGCGGGGCCCCAGGCAGAAGGGGCGGGGCCCCAGGCAGAAGGGGCGGGGCCCCAGGCAGAAGGGGCGGGGCCCCAGGCAGAAGGGGCGGGGCCCCAGGCAGAAGGGGCGGGGCTGGGATCTTGCCTTCCCTGGCCCTACATTCACCCACTGCCCACAGAAAAGGGGAACAGCCTCTAGCAAGGTAGCTGATGAGAGAGGCTTTCGTTTGCATGTGCTAGCGCCGTGTTGCGCTGTTGCCTTGTGTATGGCACAGAGTCAAACCTCTTCGGTACCTAACGTATAAAACTAGAACTGACCCGAGAGACAAAGGAGGAGGCGGCAAAGATTTACGCAGTCCTGCCATCTGTCTCTCAGCTGTTTGGAGCCATTACTGTGGGAGTGTGAAGTAGCTGCTGTTTGGAGCAAGCTGGTGTATCCCAGAGCAGAGAGCGGGAAGGGAAAATGGTTTCTATTCGGTAATCGGCCTGAAGAATCTGCTTTTCTGCCAAGTGATCTGTGGACCTGATAGTTGCTCAGCTGCTTGTTTCTGGAGCGTCTCTTGCTCAGGATCTTGCGTTCTGCACATTCTTTAGATGGGTTCCCCTATTGGCCTGTAGGTGCTTTGCTGCTGGGCCTGCCAGTGGGGAGGCTGGATTTCAGGCTATGTGTGTAATACACTTTTGCCCCACATGGCACCTGCCGGGGTCAGAAAGAGTCTTGCTGCTTCCTTTATCCCAGCTCAACCCTGCTCACCTGGTGATCAGAAACAGACAGACAGGATGAGCCAAGTGCTTGGGTGGAAGAGGGCTTACTCGAGAGGGTGTGAAACTCCAGAGATGGTCTCAGATGGGTGGCTGGCAGTTGGTGAAATAATAATAAACTTCCATGATACCATCCAGGGAGTCCATCTGCATCGATTAGGTCTCAACTGGAGGACCAGGTTCAGTTCTGGGTGCCATTTGTCCTGAAAGATGTGGACAAATTGGAGAAGGTCCAGCAACAAAAAATGATTAAAGGTGTAGAAACTATGAGGGAAGATTGAAAAAAAACTTGAGTTAATTGTGTCTAGAGAAGAGATGACTGAGGGGGGGGGGGGGCTTGTAATTGTTTTCAAGCATGTAAATGGCTGTTATGAGGAGGGAGACAATTTGTTCTCGTTAATATCTGAGGATAGGACAAGAAGCAGTGGGCTTACATTGGAGCAAAGGAGGTTTAGGTTGGACATTAGGAAAAACTTCCTAGCTGTCAGGGTGGTAAAGCACTGAATTAATTGCCTAGGGAGGAGGGATGTAAAAGGTTACCTGGTAAGCATTAGCCTTACTGGAATGCCTATCCAGAGGGCTAGGTGTGGGGAGTAGCCCCTCATCCGCTGTGGTCCAGCTGGCTGGACCCTGGCCAGCCAGAATAATCTCTTACTTGCAGTGCAGTGGAGTACTGACTGGCCGCGACAGCGCCCCCACCTGCAGAGGCTGGGCTGGAGGAGCCCCCTGCCCATGGTGGGCTGGCTGGACCCCAGCTGCCTGGTTAACTGGTTAAACAATGACAATGATATCCTTTAACCGGTTAATTTTTTCAATGGAAATTTACATCCCGAAGGGGGGTTGTGGAATCTCCATTATTGGAGGCTGTTAAGAACAAGTTAGACCAGGGGCAGGCAATGAGCCGGATGCGGCTCCCTGGCAGGCTGCCTCCCCTTGAAGTTCCCATTGGCAGTGGGTTGCCATTCCCAGCGAATAGGAGCTTTGGGAAGCAGTGTCCCGGTCCATGCCGCTTCCCGCAGCTCCCATTGGCTGGGAACGGCGATCTGCAGCCAATGAGAGCTTCAAGCGGCTGTAGTTGGCTGATTCTTGCCCATCGCTGGGTTAGACAGACACCTGTTGGGAATGATTATTAGTTAGTCCTGTCTTCAGGGCAAGGGACTGGACTAGATCACCTGTTGAAGTCCCTTTCAGTCCTGGGCTTCTGAGGTCAGAGCACATTAGAAACACCAATGGATTCGTGCTCCCAGCAGTGTATTATCACGACCATTTTATCATGGGCAAACTGGGGCTCAGAGGCAGACCCAGGACGAGAACTCTGCTTTGGCCATAACCCCTTCCTGCTCCGTGGCCGCTGGCCACTGGTCAGGTAGATTATTTTGTCTCTAGGGCGAAGCGACCTGACAAAGCTCATTCTAGTCTAGGTTGCTCCCTAGATCCTTGAAGGAGAATGGGGGCCAGGCACCATCCCGTGACGGTTTGCTTCCCAAAAGGGCTCAATTTGGAAATGCAGGCCAAAGCTGGGGGTGCCAGGGAATTGGCCTTTGGCTGAAACCCCCGCTTGTGCCTCGAAGTCACTTGCTGCCTCCTTACTGTTCTCCAATGTGGTGGCCCGACTTGCAGTGTCTGGGCTGGGCTAGCAGAGCCGAGGCATTGCAGGCGTGCACAGGAGTGTGCCCGGACTCCCTTCTAGCACAGCCACGGGTGGCTCTGTCCATGCCTCACCTCTCTGTGGGCACTGTAAAAATAGCGAACCTGTGGGGGCTACTTTGCCAAGGAGGGCCCCAAAGGGGGGGACATTTCATCGAGGTTTTCGGAGGGTGAGTTGCCAGCTCAAGTCCTTGTCTGGACGTTGCTGCAACCCGTCAGTGCCGGGGAAGGTGCAGAAGGCTGAGCTTGTGGGCCGACCCATTCCTCGGTGGTGCTCGCGGGCACATCTCCTTGCAGGCCTTTACTCGGGGCTACTCGGGGCTTCTCGGTCTGAACCCCCTACTTCCCGAGTGCCGTTGAGGGGGCCCGCGTGGCGTCGGCAGTTAGCAGTATTTCATAAGTGGGAGAAACCCCAGCACTGGCCAACCGGCAGCATCTGTGCACACAGGGGTGGGGCGGGGGGAAAGTTACTTAACCTCCTGCACTGCCTCAGAGGCCACTGAGCTTCCGGCGAACAGTCTGTGGCTTCTTTCAGAGCAGCGTCTCCCTGCACCCGCTTTGTGCATGAGCCGTTCTGGTGGTGGGTTCCCCCCTAGCACTGTCCCCCGCTATGCTGGAGACCAGGGATATCTAGGTGAGCATGCTGCCTCCCAGCTGGTCCTTGGAGCCCTGTCCTGCAGGAGTTCTGGTGGGCCGTGGCGTGTGTGGCCCGAATCCTGCGCCTGCATTGCGGTTGTAATGCTGCAGGAGGGGTCGTTAGCAAAAGGGCAGGAATGGAACGGAGAGCGGGGCCACTGGACTTGATAGCCCTGCGTGGTAGGGGAGGAGTGACCTTCCCTGGGGCCCCATTTCTCTCACATTTGCCTCTCGGCTTTATCTCTGGGGAGGGGCCCTTTTTTAAAGGTCTCGTTCTGCTTTTCGCCCTTCACATCCTATCCAGGGAGCTAGTTCACCGTGTTCATGGGGCTCCTCAAAGGTGCGGGGCTACCACTGCGTGCATCGGGGCGTGGGCGTCCCTTGGAGATGGGCGCGCAGCAGCGGCGTGTGCTGCAGTCTGGCCCGTGCTCCCTGCCCCCGTGGGCTGTGGATCCCTGTACATGTAGACGATCCTTTCTGAAGATTTTCTCCTGGGGACTGTTAACCCAAACCTGGTATGGCTGGGCATGTTCTCCCTCCCTCCCCCGACCTGCACCCGGCCTCCAGTCCTTTGGAGCAAAGAGCCGCCCTTGGCCCTGTGGTATGTGCGGTTGGCTGTGTTTAATCTTCTGATCAGTCGCATCCCCTCTCCTCGGGGAGCCACCGGGCCAAGCCCCTCCCTGCTGCAGTTTAGAAGGCCACGCAAAGACGATGTGTTTTCTGCTGGGCTGGTGCAGCTGCGTCCACCAAATTCCTGTGACCTTACCAGCCCCTGTCTTTGCAGTGTTCCCGTGAGGCCCGGCTATTTCATGGCCCCCGTGTGCAGTGAGGGCCACAGGGGGGAAGCAGTCTTGCCCAGGGTATTGGCATGAGAGCAATGGATGGGACCCCGGCGTTGCTGCCTGCCAGCCCCACTCCCCGTGCAGTGCCCATGTGTGTCTGCTCCCTACAGATCACCAGGGTTCTGTAGGGAGACTTGCTCTTCTTGCAGCGCTTTTTCATTAGGCGGGGGGGGAGGGGGCAGGGGGTGAGCTCTGCTTTAAAGCTGGTACCTAACCCTGACTTTCTTCTCCATCCTCCCCCATTCAGGTGAGGCCTTCCTGGGTGGGTATGTGGCCAGCGGACTAGGGACCTCCTCCACACCCCATGGAAGCCCCGCCCCTTTGCCCTCTGACTTGTCCTTCAGGTCACCCACCCCCGCTGACCTACAGATGGTGCAACTCTGGGCTGCTCATGCCCATGAAGGTAAAGAGAGAGAGAGAGAGAGAGAACCTGTCTGCTGATTGCAGGGGCTGGTTGCTGGGGCGTCTCCCTCCCCCCCCCCAGCCAGGTGGAGGGCAACATTGCATCCTTCAGTTGGGAGACAGGGTTGGGTCATCGTGTAGCCAGAGGTGCTCAAGAAAGAATAGCTTCTTGCCCCTGCAAGCTGGCAGAGCTGCCCTGTCGAGGGCCAGGGCTGCGCAATCAGACAGACCAGCGCTTGTGGGAACGTCTGGCGGCCCAGGACGTTGCGCTGGATTGCAAAGCTTTCTGCTCCATTGACTCCAGGGGGTGTGGGCCGGGTTTCCCCCTTCCTGTGCAGCAGCCTGTGGCTGGGCTGAGCTGTCTGTTGCTTGTTGCAATTAAGCTCTTCCCTCTGGCCTGGCACGGGGAAGTGGCCAGCGAGGGATCTGGTGCCTTTCTCACGGCCGGCAAAAGGAGCAAAGTGTGTTAAGCCTCCAGGTCCCTGCTTGGGAGCCTGGCTGCACTGGGGTGAGTGTGTATCTCGCCGGCCTCTGCATGAATCAGGCTGGCTCCCACAGCCACAGAACTGATACCCGACATGCCCCGTCCCCACCAGGAGTCCCCTGACAGACCTGCTGTCTTTGCGTTTTGTTTGGACCAGCTTCATCCCTTTCCCCACATTTGCCCTTGTGCAGCGCCGCCCAGGGGAGGCATTGGTCCCTGTCTCACTCCCTGCATCCGTTTACAGTCCGGGGCCTGTTGCAGGCGAAGTACCTGGTCTGCCTCCTCCTCTCCCTGCCTTTTGGCTTGTGTGCCTGGGCTGCCCCCTCCCCACAGACACATTCCACATGTTTGGACCAGCTTCATCCCTTTCCCCACATTTGCCCTTGTGCAGCGCCGCCCAGGGGAGGCATTGGTCCCTGTCTCACTCCCTGCATCCGTTTACAGTCCGGGGCCTGTTGCAGGCGAAGTACCTGGTCTGCCTCCTCCTCTCCCTGCCTTTTGGCTTGTGTGCCTGGGCTGCCCCCTCCCCACAGACACATTCCACA